TCACCTGACCTTAAAAAGAAACTAGAAATGCACGTCCAGGCAATTCTTGTCTGTATGTAACCCACTATAGCAACCCAGACAAGGCGTTCAGGGCAAGTGGGATATTTAAGGAGTGTTTTTACCAATTCCACACCCCTTGCCATGAGTTTCCATGGCTGAGTGTGGATTTGAACCCAGGTCTCATAAATCCTTTCCTGCTATTTTATCCATTATACCACATTTCTTTTTTTAAAGGGGGGGAGGAAAGGCCCAAAGGATCATATCCAGGCCCAAAAATTTGTCCTCCAAAGAGACCTCCTAAGATCAGCCACCCATGCTGAAATACGATAATTCTCTAAATTTTGATGATATTTTGATACAAGCCATGTCTTGTCAGGAACTATGGGAAATGACTGAGTGGGGAAGAAATGGTGGATGTTGTTTAAATATTGCTTCAAAGTGAGGTAGCTTCTGTGTATTTTTCATAAAATCAAAGAATGCACAACCATGGAAAGTAACCCATTGTTATAATCATATGGCATTAAGCTGTTAAGACTGAAGATCTCAGTATGTGGGGTTTAAAGCCTTGAAAATGATTATATATTTCAATACGTCTGTTGTGAATTACCTTACTTTGTATATACATTATGACTCCAAAACTTGTGATCTGAGTGGTAACTTGTGCATGTTTAGTAAAAAATAATTTGATAGATAACATTAACACTACAGTAATGTGTTAATCCATCTTTGTGGCATTAAACTGTAGTTTTATATTCACCTAGAAATAAATGCCATTGAACTGAGTGGGCCTTAGTTTAGAGAATACCTGTTATGATCATAAGGTTAGTTTGAAACAGTCCCCAAATGGAACCACTGCCAAAGCCTCAGTTGTAAAACAAGTGGATTTGTCCACTTACATCCACAAATTAGAAATGTTAATTGGGGGGGAGGGGTTCTCAGAGAAGATCAACACAAGCCATGCTGTTTGGGAAATGTGAGAGTTACAGTCCAAACAGGTAATATTTCCAGACTCCACCAGATTGTTCAGTTGAATTCACTGGAATAAAGACAGTTCATGTACTTCTATACTAGGGGTCTCCAAACTTTAGATTGTGGGGGCCACACTGGATATTTCCAACATTTTTTGAGGGCCGAAGGAACAGGAACATGTGTGTGCGGCCGCACGCATGCATGCACCCCCTGCCCCTCACACGGATGCGTGCACACATGCATGCCCGCTGCATGAACACATGCATGCAGCCCCCATGCATGCCCACCCCCCACATGGGCTGAAGGGAACGGGCCAGATAAAACATCAAGGCAGGCTGGATGTGACCCATGGATCGTAATTTGGAAACCCCTGATCCTATACCAACTGACATTGTCCTGTCCTGAGGGGTCAAATTAGGGAAACACTAAAATATTGTAAATGTTATTCTAAATATTCAAAACTCTTCATATTTTACAGGATATAAACCTATACCCCGCTATGGCTATAAACCTTCACCACCCAATGGATGTGGTTCTCCTCTTTTTGGAGTTCATGTAAGTAACTTCTTGCCTCAGGCACTTGCTAATGCTTATTGATTTTAGTTATGCTTCAAAGTTAGGGAAGGTGTTAAAAGTGCACCATGCCTTAAATGCTCCCCCGTTAGACAATTGTAATGTACTCTGCATGGGGCTGCTCTTAAAACGTGTAGGGAGGATATAACTAGACTGTTGTCTGAGATATGCTTTGGACTAGAGACAATTTAATGCTGGTCTCGAATTAACTGCATTGGCTGCACATTTGCTTCTGCACTCAATTCAAGGTGCTGATTCTGATCTATAAAGCCCTAAACAACTTGGAGCCTGTAGCATATCTGAAAGACTGCCTCCTCCCATACATACCTGTCCAGAATTTATGCTCCTCAGTAAAGCTCATTTACATGCCTTGATACCTCCCAAATTTGTGGGTGTGTCAGACTGTGAATCTCCATAGCACCACCACAATTATGGAACGCTTCCAAGGGAAGTTAGGATGGCTGTATCTCTGCGTTTCCAACAGGCATCTGTACTGTTGCATGGAATCTACGATACATTCTTTTAAAATAGTTTGGGGGAAATGGCTTCAATTTGCTTTTAAACATTTAAAACTTGTTTCAAATGGTTAAAATTCATCATCTAACCTCCTTCTCATGTGTCACTCTCCCCCGCCCCATCCTCTCGCATATCAAAATATTTGCCGCATTTAGCTGGCCAAAAAACTTAAGTTATCTAATGCTCACCACTGCCATCACTGTTTCTTTCTTTGCTGTCAGCTACAAATTCCACACCCAATTACTCTTTGGTTCCTCTGAGTAATTTAAGTAAAATAGAAGTGAGCCTTAGAAGGCCCTTTGTTCTACTTCTAAACGCTTCAGATAATTCCATATGGTGTGGGGAGCATATTTAGAGGTGCTACAGACTGCATGAGCAAGCTGGATAACTCAGTGGTTTAGGTATCTGGCCGTGGATATCTAGTTAACCTAGTTGATAATTTCTCCCTTGTCTTTAGTATAATTATACATGTTGTGCTCCTCAGGAGAATATTCTTCTAATTTCAATGACAACGTGTAATATTTCACTCACTCTGTTAAGAAATGGGTCATTTCATGGTTCCTGTAAGATACAACTGAAGTACTACTATTTGCTTTGCCACATGCTAAATATATCTATTAAAAGTGAAATACATTTCTTTTCTCTTATGACTATGGCTTGGGAGATCTGGTTCCTCTGATAGTTGAAAGGACCCTTTTTAAATTTCTGCTGTAACTGAATGTCTTCATTACATAAATATTTACACAACTATTATGGGCAGATGTAAAGCCTTATTTATTTATTTATCTATTCATTCATTCATTTGATTTATACCCCGCCTATCTGGTCTGCTCGACCACTCTTTTTGAAGTTATTGATTTATTGGTTATATTCTCACCCCCTTCTAGCCCCTTTTGTGTTTTCTTCGTGGGATATGTGTGGCTTCCTTTATACGTTGGTACATATTTGCATTTTGTATTGGCATATCTTGCAAAGTTCTCTGAAAAATGGCTAATGCTAAGGACTTGCTTCTCAGTTTGACATTGGCATTCCCTCCATGACAAAATGCTGCAACCAACATGATCGGTGTTATGATACCTGTGGCAACAAAAAGCATGAATGTGATGAGCAATTTCAGTATTGCCTTTCCAAGATCTGTCGAGATGTACAGAAGACACTAGGAATACCAGAGAGTGTACAAGGTAAGCTGCTCCAGAGAAATACAATTGTGTTATGGAGCAAACAACATTTTAATATAGTCTGTTGTAATTATTTACTCAATTTCTATGTGTATCCAAGGCTTGATGTAGCCAGTTTATGGAGAGCCGATGATTAAAACTCATTGTCCCTAACAGATAATAGACCAGGGGTGGGGAATAATTATGGGTTTGTTTTTTGTTGTTGTTGTTGTTATTGTTTTCTTAGTCTCACAGTATCCAGCCATACTTAGTAGCCATGATAGCCAGGATGTTCTGAAGTGTGTCTGGAATTCTTCATCAGTGTACAGAAAAGGGAAGTTGGGAAAATAAATAATGTCATCAGTATATTTGGTGAAATATGATGGCCATGGAGCTGATGGGATAGCTCAGGGAGCTGGGTACAGGCTGTGGAGCCACAGGTCAGAAATTCGATTCCTCACGGAGCCTCTCTGAAGAACCACCAGCCTCTGTGGCCTTGGGCCACACAGAGTCCCAGGATGCGCTCAGGAGAAGGGAAGGGTAAACTGCTTCTGAGTATTCTTTATCTAGAAAACCCTGGAAAGAGCCGTATACTGTAAGTCAGAATCAGCTTGACAGCGTGTTATTGTTGTTATCATTGTTGTGATTATGTTGTGATTATCTCAGGATGGTGATTGCAAAGACATTGGTAAGTGTGCTGGTGTCAGATCGCAATCATCAATGCATAGGATGGGGAACCACTTATGTTTCTCTCTTTTTGGAAACACAAGAATGGCTGTGGCTCAGAGCCACATCTTCCCTTAGGTGATGCACACAAATTCCTGAGATGGCACAGAACTGTTATTCATCGCTAATAAAGATAGTGCCTGGCTATGTTTTTTCTTGTGCTGTTCCCATGCTGTAACACACTTAAGTTCTTTGTTTGTACTCATAAAGTTCATCTTGCTTTGTATGAGCATAAGTTACATGTAATATAAACAACTAAATAATAATCCTTACTACTGAATTGCCATAAGATTGTTGATGGTGAAGCATGGATTTGCTATTATTGCTGCACAAAAGTGCAACAAACAGATATTTTGCAACTATATTGGCTTTGCAGTTGCTACCCTGAGACTGAGTTTGCAGCAAGAGTGCAGCAATAGATACTGTGCAACAAAACAAATCAGTATTCCATAAGGAAATTCAAAACATGGGGTAATATTACAAGGCGTATTACCTTATCCTGTAGATCAGGGGTCTCCAACCCCTATTCCATAAGGAAAGTCAAAACATGGGGTAATATTACAAGGCGTATTACCTTATCCTGTAGATCAGGGGTCTCCAACCCCTGGTCTGCTGCCTGGTGCCGGTCTGTGGGCTTCACAGGACTGGGCCGCAGAGACAGATCTCCCAATCCCCTGCCCGCACATATGGTGGACATGATGTGCTTATGCGCGTTCGTGGGTGTGTGTGATGTGCTCATGGTTGGGCACACCCCACTCACCCAGAAGTGTGCCACGCCCAGCCACAAGCGCCCCCCGCTGACTCGTGCATATGTGCAAATGCACTATGCGCATCCATAAACGTTCCACGCCCACCCTGAATATGCCATACCCACCAGCGAGCACAGGGGATGCCTCTGCCCCCCAAACTGGTCTGTGGTTCCAAAAAGGTTGGGGACCACTGCTATAGATCATCTTGACTGCTGCCATTGGTGGTGTCAGCAGCCAACTGGGCCTTTTCTATGTTAAGCTTGGCATCCTTTTTCCTGCTTGCAATGTGGGTGTGATATTGTGTAGCAACAATCAGGCCATATCCTGGATTTTTAAATTGTGGGTACAGAAGCACAATGTCCCACGTTCATAAACTAGAGTTTTTTGGAAGAATTGAACTGGACCCATGTTTAACAAGCTTCTTTCAAAAACAGACCGGCAACGCTAAGATTTTTGAAGTGTATGAGATGTTCAAGAGGTGATTTACCATTGCCATCTTTCATTGAATCTCCATGGTCAAGTGGAGATTTGAACCCAGGTTTCTTGAATCTTGTTATGATACTTTATTCACCAGACTACATTCTCTCCTTGTAAATAATTAAAAGCATAAGCTTATTACTTAATATATATGAAAATATAATCTTACGTACCTTTGGTCAATATAAACTGCTTAACCAGCCTTGAATCAAGGAAGAGCCACTGGTAAACATGGACTCCCCTCATAATGTGAGGCATAGTTTACTGCTTTATTGAAATATTAATTTATTTGCTTTCTTCCTTTTAGCATGTGAATCAACAGTGCAGCTGGTGTTTGATGCTGTCATACATTTGGGATGCAAGCCATACCTTGATAGTCAAAGAGCTGCATGCATGTGTCGGTATGAAGACAAGAGAGACCTTTAAAGAAGTGTATAGCCTTCTGCAGCGTATACAGACTTTTTGTCTGTATTGCAGGAGCCCTTTTGTTATTACAAAACTACTCAAAATATGCAGTTGAATATGAAGATGATCTCTATGATGAGCAGAAGACACTAATTTTTATAAGTTTATGTACAACACTTCCTTTCATCAACTTACATCCACCATCTTTCTCAAACATCAAAAATGATATTTTTGACAACTGGCCTTAGAGCTGTTTGACTGTGAATGAATGTTGTTGTTTTTGACTTAATATATTGCACCATAGAACTAAAGCAATTTCTGGACGGTTTACAACATATGCAAACAACAACTCCCCCTCTCCCCACGATGTGGATTTTACCAACCTTGGAAGGATAGAAGGCGGAGTGAACCTTGAGCCAGCTACTTGAACCCAGGGATCAAACTCAGGTTGTGAGCAGAGGCTTGACAGCAGTACTGCAGTCTAACCACTGCACCATGGGAATGCTCAGTATGCTACGTATTGAACTGAGGTAAAAGTAGGTCAAATGTCAGTCTTGCTAGCAAACATCATGTCTTCAGTGCCTTGTTTTACTGACAAGAAGGAAAATGTCTCAAAAGCAAATGGCTTCTGTTTGAAACATTCTATTATGGGATATTCTTTTTGGCAGATGATCTCTGCTGGTGTTATAGTGCAATTTTGTAGCATTTAATTGGACACAAGTTCACTGTACTCAGGCAATGTGTTCGGCATTGCAGCTTTATATGGCCCTCTTCAGTCTTACCTGAAAACATTTTCACTTACCTGAAAATGTAAGTGAACATGCATACAATTGTCTGTAAATTTGCCGACAAGACAGACCATTTGGTTTGATATTTCAAAATTACCAAACCAACATTGTTTATCCATTTACATTACAGATATTCTTCCAAAGTGCCTATGAAATTTAAGAACAAAATTTTGAAATACATTTTAAATTACTAAACTGAGTTCATTTGTGTATTCATTGGCATTCTAGGATATGTCCAGTCCTCTCTGTGAAATAATAAAACAGAACTGCCCCCACTGAAATCTCCAAGACCATTGGCCTAAATCCTATTGCTCATCCTAATTAGAGTAGACCCATGAATGGATGAGTCAGCATTTATGCAAATCTCATTGATTTTGCTCTGTTTGGGGCTAATTATTGAATTTAAGCCATTCCTGTTTTAAAAAAAATCAGATTGGCTTTTGTTTTAAGCACAGCTATATTCTGTGCAATAGAAGTGACTTCATGTGTATTGAATAAGAATTCTGTTGGCCTAAACAAAAGGAGTATTTTTATCTGCTGCTCTCTCTGTGTGGAACCCTTTTATCTGTGGTTTTCAGGACTAAATGATAAAACTGGTGAAGACTTTTACCAGTATGTTTCCTAGAAATGTAGAATTTTAAGGGCTGTTTTCCCATTTGATATTTTAAAAAGTTCTCAGACACAGCTATCTTTAGTTGTACAGTGGTGCCTCGCTAGACAGTTACTTTAGTTGTACAGTTACCCCACATGACAGGTTTTTTTTTGTTAGACATTGACTTTTTGCGATCGCTATAGCGATTCGCAAAACGGTGATTCCTATGGGGGAATTTCGCTGGACAATGTTTGGTCCCTGCTTCACAAACCAATTTTCACTTGGCAACGATTTTGACAGCTCCCTCTGCGCTCACAAAATGGGTGTTTTGCAAGACAGCTATTTAAACAGCTGATCGGCGGTTCGCAAAGCGGCTTTCCTATGGCCGAGCTTCACTAGACAATGACTATTCTTCCCCATTGGAACACATTAAACAGGTTTCAGTGCATTCCAATAGGGAAATGCTTTTCGTTAGACAATGATTTCGCTAAACAGTGATTTCAGTGGAACGGATTATCGTCTAGTGAGGCACCACTGTATTAAGACTTAAAGCTTGGCATTTCCTATCTCTGCACATCAGGTTTTATTGACAGGTCTTTTTATGGGTTTTGTTTTGCCAAAGATGCTTAAGTCTTTTATGAAGGAATGTGAATTCTTAACACTGAGGCTGATTATCTCTTCAAGTGTCTTGTGTATACAAATGCCAGAGATGATGATTGTTACTTGAAAAGTTGAATACAATATATTTTCTTTTGTGACCTTTATTAATAAAGCACATGAGAATTTTTAAGTGTGACTGTGCATGAAATAGAACTGTACCTGTTTTGGTAGAGGGAATATTTTAAAATGCTATTAATAATGACAATCCTGTTTTGTAGTTATACAGATGGAAGAGAAATGGTGTAATTCTCAGTGGCTAATTGCCACCAGCTGTCTGGATCGCTCAGTGGTTTAGGTACAGGCATGCCTCACGTAACGAATGAGGTCATTAAGCAAATTAGTTGATAAACGAGGAACAATACTACTCTGCACAGGACTAATAAGTCATGTGCCGTTGAGATGGGGTTGGGAGAGAAGATGCAAGCAGGCATTTATGAGGTGTTGAGACAGGTGTATGTCTGAGCGGCTGATAAACAGGTAGGTCATTAAGTGAGGAGTGACTGTATCTGGCTGCGGATCTGGAGGTTGGGGATTCAATTCCCACTTGTGCCTCCTGAGAGAAGAGCCAGCCTGGATAGTCATGGGCAAAACGGCAGAGTCCCAGGGTACCCCCTAGAAGAAGGGAATGGTAAACAAACTTCTATTCACTACCTGAAAACCCTGAAAAGGATAGTCATAAGTCAATTGACTTGACAGCACATCATCATCATCATTTGGCACTAATTGATACAACTCTTGCTTAGATTTCTCATTGTACATCTTTTGGTTGGCTTGGCACACAATAGGAGCCCAAACATGGAAGGCAGGGAGCTTATTAATTAACTCCTATGACTCATGCCATTTCTTTTCCACCCATGTAAAGAAAAGAAAAACATTTTGGGCCAATAAATAAAGCTTAACTAAAGAGCACACTATTAGAAGGAAAACTAGAATAATTTATTTTATAATCCCTTGTTTTTGTTGTATTACACCATATACTGTAATGGCGAGAATTTTTTAAAAAGTATGGTCTAACTAGATATTTTCAGTTACAAAGATATGGAAATCCCTCTTAAATGCTTGATGAGGCACACCCACATCCTGGATTTTTCCTTTCTCGCAGAGAACAATTATTTCCTCTTCTGTTTCCTTTTTACAGTTGAAGCAAACAAGAAAACTATTCATACATATGAAGAGATGCCTTTACATGTGTTTAAAAGCAAAATACAACAATTTTTTACTATGTTATAACTTACAAATATGGGTTGCTTAAAAAAATATAAGCCTTCAGTCAAAGGCCAGCTTTTTGAAGAAGATGCTTGTTTCTTCTGCAGTTATTTGTCTAGGAAGAATAATGGCTGGGTTTTATATTTCCATTTAAAAGAAACAGCAGTACTAATTGTGTAGATGCCCCAGCCGCTGTCAAACCATCCCCATCCAAGGGAATCAATTAATTTAGAATTCTGTTAGGAGATTAGGAAAAGGCTAAGGTTATGCAGGAACAGGAGTCATAGAGTTAATGTTGTTCTGCAGGAGAGTCTGGGATTATGAATTACCACAACGATGGGAAGCAGAAATCTGTTATTGAGTGTTGATTTTATGTTGATTTTATGTTCAACCCTTCATATGTGCAAACATGTCACAGAAAACGTGATACAAGAAAATTTAGTCCCCAGTTACAAATTTCTGGGTGAGCTCTGAGTCGCTTGGAGGTGCAGCACATATGTGTAACAATACAAAGGGAAGACTGGATGATACCTTTGTTAGACCACTAAAATCCCACAAAAATATGCTAGCTTTCAACCCTGTGCAAATCTTCCATCAGTCCCATATTCCATCTCTCATGGAACTGATTGGAATGGCTCTCTAATCTTGTTACACAATGGGTTGCCACATCAGATTGTGTACAAGGACCACACATCTTTTTTTTCCTTTTAAACATTTGTCGCAATAGCCTGTATTCATGATATAGAGCTATGTATATTTCACATTGCAATGCCAACAGAATACTGTATACCTATGCATATACATGTAGTCTCATTTCTGTCCCTACTTTAAATCATCATGGGTATTACTAAAAACATTGTATGTCCAGAAATTTAATAATGGCTTGTATTCAGCCGCCTAGAGTGGTCGTTTGACCAGATAGGTGGGGTATCAATACAATACAATACAATACAATTAAATAAATAAATAAATATACAGTGTAAAAAATGTATTGTTCCTTCTGCTGAATGATATAGGAATTAGATACGCTTTGCTAAACTGGTGATTATCAGATGTACAAGGACCACACATCTTTTTAAATATACAGTACAGTGTAAAAATGTAATGTTCGTTCTGCTGAATGATATACGCTTTGCTGAATTGGATACGCTTTGCTAAACTGGTGATTATCAGGCTTTTTTTCATAGAATGTTTTGGTTATTAAGAAAGCTCCAGGTACTTGCCACAGAACCCCTGGACATTGAGAGGATGCTGATACAGGTCCTGATTCCTAAAGTCACTTTTTGTCTTCACTTGGTCCATGTAGACTTGGTGTGCATCTTACACCTTATACCTGTAAGCTGCTGATCAAAGATCAGTACTAGCAGGCAATTTATATTGCAACTGCTACTGATCATTTCCTTGAAAAAGCCTTAATACACTTCCCAAGAATGCAGTTTTAAACTCAACTACACTAAAGAAGAATTTGTGATGCCTCAGAAACAAGAATTGGAGCATTCATTAACCCTCTGGGAAATCTGTTTTTGCATTGTAACTGTGCTGTTTTTCAAGTCAGATAAAGAGGGTGTTAAATAAATTTCATTGAGAAATTACTCATGGGTTTTTGAAAAGACTTGAAAAATTAAATCTTGAGATAGTCATTACTGCAGTCACTCAAACACAACTGTAAGTAAGAGCGAAACTGTACAGATAGCAAGTTTTGAGTACTGCTCTGACCTGCTGCCAGCCTTCCTAACAAAATGACTCAAAGGGGTGTATACCTCCTTGCCTGCTGCAAGTACAAAGTTCAGCAGAAGTAAATTGCAGGACAAAAATGAAAACCAGAGGATAGAAAGTAAAATATTCTCCCTTCTCCATCTGCTGTGGAAGGCTGGGCCGCCCCAAGCTGTCCCCTACCCTCAACAACGTACAGGGCATAAAACAAAGCCCACAATATTTAACTTGGGGC